ACTGGTGATCGCTTCAACTTCGCTTTGCCCCTCAAGAGAGTATAATTATACTTGCGAAAGCAGCGACGACGTTGCCGACAGAAAAGTACTAGAAGTCTTTGAAGCACTTGACAAAGTATATACTTCGAAGTATGTGCATTTTGACGATTGCTATCGGCATCGAGGAAGTTGAGGTAGTGAGACTCCGATCGTTTTGTTAGCATCACCTCGCAGACCTAGCTGAATAGCGCAGGTTGCTAGTGAGTTTAACTTAGCATCCTTATCGCGTGTCGACTGCTATCACGAACCCGTTACGCCCATGCTTGCCCTATCGTCGATATCGAACACTGCTTCCTCCACTTCCCCCAAAACACAGTCCCAAATGGATTCATGTAATAAAACTAACAAACACAACGCTATCAGAGTCTCAAGTGTAGTACTTGTAGTATTTCCTGGCTTATTGATTAGAGACGTATCAGAACCAATTACATCCCGACATGGTGTTGCATGCACCTTGAGATATTATGACGAAGTCCCGATTGGGTGGCATCGTGAACAACATCCTGAGACGCTTCCCTACATTACAATAGTGAACATTTTTACTCAAGCTGACATTCTACAAAATCTGTACAATCTTGAACATTATCACTCGGAAGTAAGGCCTTTAACGCAAGAAAGTTTGGCATTGTATATTCTTCTTTAGACTAGATGCGCCAGAAGAATAGGTCTTGTGAAAACCATAGCATTTAGCACGCGGTGGCAGTCGTGGTGGTTGTGGTCGTCGTGTTGGTTGACGACGCCTCGGTAGCGGTAGGGGCCTCGGTCGCCGTAGTGGTGGTGGTGGCCGTAGCAGTCGTCGCAGTAGGGGCCGTGGTGGCCGTAGCAGTCGTCGCAGTCGAGGTCGTAGTGGTCGTGGTGGTCGTGTCCGTCGTGGTAGACGTCGTGCTCGACGATGATAGAGAAGAGCAAACGCTGGAGAATCCGTTGGCCAACTCATAAACATTCACCTCCAGACCGCTCGTGGGCACAGTCAGGGTGCAGTCTGGCGGGCTCAGTGAGATGATAGACTCGATGAGAGACTGGCAGTTCGTTGATGCACACATCTCCACGTATTCGGCGTCCGTGGGCAGCGAGGTCGAGTACAGGAGGCTGTAGCCCGAGTCGTCAACACAGCCCTGGAACGAGTCCAGAGTCAGTAGGCTCGCCAGCGTCGTGTACGCGGACGTCTGCTGCGTTGACGAGCAGGTATCGGCAGCGGCGGAGCCCACAAAGGCGGCGGCGGCAACAGCGAAGATGGTCTTGGCGTTCATGGTAGGAGCTGTGTAGATCAGAGCAGATTGTAGAATGAGCAGAAGCCGTCACACTCGCGCCGGTTGTTGGTGTCCGCCGAGTCGGCGGCCGACCCACGTCTGTCCGAAGACTCTTGAAATGGAGGCGGTGCTTAGCAGCTCCTTGCTTCAGAGTTATCGTGCTGTTCGGTGCAATTGAGCATCATGGAGCTCTCGTCTTGTATGTGAGGCACGGCTGAGATAGGACAGGAACGGTGACACCTGAGATACTGAGGCAGTAGACGGCCCGCTCCGACACGAAAAGTAGACCGTCGCGGTTGAACGCCCAGCGCATCGATGCGATAGTGCGCTGCACTTACATCTCGTGGAGTAAGTGACCCAACGTTGGCGCTTCCTTCGACTGTGGCGGCATTCGACTAGAGATAGCAGTGCGTGTCGGAAGTGATGGCGGCGGAGATTGGAACCAGCGTTTCAACAAGTTGGTCATCTCCTTGAGGATACCGTCGACAAGCAGAAACGGTACGAGTGACGTGGCCGGATACACTCGTCCCACTCTGGTCACGCAGTGAGAATCTCACTGAGATCCCTGGTCGAGCGAGGTACGACGCGCAGTTTCGAGCACCAAAGTTGCAGAGGGGATCCTGACAAAGAGAAGGCTGAGTGCAACCAACACTGGCAGTGTCACTGCAGCATCCAGCCCAATACATGTAGCGCGTCGATGCAGCCCTGGTTCAAATTCTCTGAAGACTTCAAAGCCGTGCAACAGTCTGTCGGCAGGTCACAATGGTTAGTGCCGATTTTGCGATGTCAAAGCAGCAGCGTTTCAGAGAGGTGTCGATTGGTTGAAGTGGATCCAGTTGCAACGCCAGACTTGCTGGTTGCGAGTTTATACGTGAATCTTACGTCCATTTCAGACTACCATGCCACGGCAGCCAGCACGTGTAACGTTATTATAGTTTTCCTTGCACACACCGCCGGGCGATATAGTTCAAGTCAAAAGCTAGTTACCGGAACCACAACAGAGGCAGCTCTGTGGCAGTACGTATGACTGTGACGTTTACTATGATCGTGAGTCATGAGTCATGACACCGCTATAGAGCTGTGAACCTCGAGTGTACCACGGTGCCAACGCTCTCTATTTGTTTTGAAGCGAGGCCAAGCGTAGACCAGA